TGCAAATCTGGCTAGACCAGAGGATGTACATTGGTACAGATGGCAACTTGAAACACAGGGAATCCAGGATGGATGACTCCTTCAGGACCAGTGGTGAGAGCAAATGATATTAAGGGCTAAAGTGGAAGGCAGGAGTTTTGAGATTGATGAGGGCAACAAATGTACATATGTGCTTGACACAATGGATGCATGTATGGACTGAGATGGGAATTGTATGAGCCCTCAATAAAATAATTTTTAAAAAATCATGGTCAGAAAACCTGAGTGGGAAAGAAAATCTGCTAAACCTAGATGACCTCCTGAGGTCACATTTTCCATTTTGGATGTTGTGGACAATAAATCTTTAAATCCGTGTGATACGTATGTCTCTATGTGGACTGTAAACAGCAAAGTCCCATGAGATATTAGTTTTTGTAGTACCTTTTAGTGAATTCGACCTTCCTAGTGTTCTCAATGAAAATGTGGATGTTCTTATAGGGAAAGTTTGGAAACTTATAGATATGACCTCGTTAGATTTTCTATATCAATCTGACACTTAAAATAATGAAATCTTATTGGCGATGATCTTCCATATAATCAAGTTTCATCTGTTAGTTGAGACATTTGCTACGTGCCCCATGTATTGGGTTTTTAACTTTTACTAACAAACTGAGGTTGATTAACATAAGTCAGGGAGAGGTTAAACAAAGAAAAATGCAAAACAGTGAAAGAGACCATGTTTCTATTTGTATGCTAGCAAATGAGAATTCCGTTTTCACTTCACATTATTACCTGTTAGCCTGTGACTCAAGTTTTATCTACTTTGGAAATAACAATGTTTTGCAGGAGACAGCATTGAATTCACCTATTTTGAGGTTCTCTTGTTTGACATTGGTCACAGAATTTGAAAGTGAACAAAGACTCTCCTGCGTGTTAGAAATCGGGTGCTCAGCATTTCCAGGCTAGGGTGCGAAGGCATCAACGTCGGTGCAGTATTAGATTTACCTTTTTCCTTTTCTTTCAGACATGTTAACTTCAGTAGAGAGTATTGTTTCCACCATTGCATTGGTAGAATTGGTCCCTGGAGTGTTTGCTAACGCTTTCATCGCCACAGTGAGCTGCGTTGCCTGCATGAAGACACAGAAGCTCTCCTCGGCTGATAAAATTCTCTTTGCTGTGGCAGTCTCCAGGTTTGGCTTGCTCTGGGCAATGATAATAAATTGGTATATATTTATGTTTAATCCCGGGTTACACGGGCCAGGAAGAGGCACTAGTATCATTTTTTGGATAGTAATGCATCATTTTAGCATCTGGTTTGCTTCTGGCCTCAGCGTCTTTTATTTGTTCAAAATTGCCAATTTTTCTAACCTTACTTTTCATCACCTGCAGTGGAGAGTTGAAAGAGTTGTTCTGGCAGTACTACTAGGAAGTTTGGTCTTTTTGGGTTTTCAACTTGCGGTGGAAATCACAGAAAACCGAATATTGAAGAATACGTACGAAGGAAACATGACGTTGAAGACTGAATTGGGTGTCACTCATGCTCTTTCCAGCCTGACTGTATTCACCCTGGAAAACATCATACCCTTTACGATGTCCCTGATTTCCCTCCTGCTGTTAATCTTCTCTCTGTGGAAACATCTCAAGAAGATGAAGTTCAATGGCACAGGGTCCCAAGATGCCAGCACCAAGGCCCACATAAAAGCCATGCTCAGTGTGATTTCCTTCCTCTTGCTGTTCACCATTTCGGTCTTCTGTCTAATTATACCAGCGTGGCTGTTGAAGATGCTTCAGAACCAGAAGACGCTCCTGCTTCTTCAGATGATTTCAATTACCCTTCCGTCAAGCCACTCCCTTATCCTGGTCGTCGTAAACCCAAAGCTAAAAAAGGCCCTTTTGTCGCTGCTTGGGCAATGGAAGGAAAGGTTGGGGCTGACATAAGAAAGTCGCCAACTTCATATTCCTAATAAGTGGGTGCCTTTTAGCAGAGAGCAAACAGACGGATTTTTGTAGGATATTTTACATTTACTGCTGTGGCGTTTTACAGTGTATGTAATTGAGTAATTTTTAAAGGTATGTATGCATAGAACAGTCTTTACTTGAACTTACAATAAAAGCATACCAGGGAGGGGGTATACCCCCCAAAAAACCTGGAATTTTTTTTTCAAAGATGTGTATTAAAAA